GAGCCCCTGCTGCAGCTCCCTGTTTTGTGGGCCAGTGGAGAGTGCTAGCATCAAGAGGAGGGTTCTGAATTCTTGCTTAGCTGTATGCCCTGGCACACTGATTTAAAGCAGCAAGAGAAATTCACTGTTAGTAGCAAAGCAGCAGGAGGGCAGTCTTGCATCAACACAGGAGTTTACATCGCTTGTTTTCAAGTATGACATTTAGTTGTCACTAATAATGCCATGGATCATAATTATGTCTATTGTAGAGAAGCTTGTCTCTGATAAAGGAAAACAACAAATGGTATTAGCCATGGGGATATTACAGTGTTCATAAATCTTGCTTTTGCAGTCTGGCTGGTATGCAGATGATGAGGGGCCCAAGGGGCAAGCTTGGCTACAGGGAGGGTGCCTGACCCCTGAGAGAAGGGGCAGGAGGGACCCAATGGAGAGAAATGGCTGGGAATCATCCTCCTTGGTGATGCCGGGATGACTGCCTGACTGCCCTGCCTGCTAGCCCCTCCAGTGGCTGCGCTGCCTGGCTTCTGGGCAGCCCTTGGAACAGGGCTCTGCTGGGGCTGCTCTGATGATGAGACTGCAAGCAGTGTGTGGTCGTGCAAAACTGTGCCTGGGTTAGCTTTTCCAGAGAGCTCATAGGCTGCAAGCAGATGTGGGTCAGGTGAAATTAACTGCTTTCGATGGCCATTGCAATAGTGGATGAATCCATTCCCCTAGGATCTTCTCCTTTCCTCTTCCTGTGAGCAGGGGAAGACCCTAGGCTTGAACATGTGGGCTCCCTGTGGGCTTGAGGAGACAGCCACAGGATCCGTGGGAGCAAGTTGGGGTCACACCCTGGTGAGCTGCTGGGATGCACAGGGCCATCAGACAGAGCACAGGCAGCAGGGGAAGGAGGAAAAACCTGTTACCTGTTGCCTAGCCACCTCCCAGTGCTCAGGATGCTTGTAAAAGCATCAGCGTCCTTAAGATTCCCATGTCCTCATTCAGATGTGTTTGAATTTTGCTAGCAACCTGAAAGCTACTGCAAGAGAGGGATTATTCACATGCAGAAATAGCTGAATCCCCCTTAGGGCTTATTTCCTTAGGACCCAGGCCTAAAATATGCCTTTTTCAGCACCTGTACCTTTTTTCAGAGTAAAGGAAACAGCCATGAAGCTGCGATGAGTAGAACACAGCTGATTGCCTCAGCAGCCTGCCACCCTCCAAAATGAAATGCTAGCCATCTCAGAGGTGACCCTAAAGTGGAGCGGAGGCCTGCCCATGTCTGTTTTGCACATTTTTCACTACTGAAGAGCCACAAGTGATGCATGTTTAGGTGCAAGGACAAGCTCAGCTGCTACCACAGCTTCATCTCTTTTTATAGTTTCATGGTTTTTTCCCCCGCAGACTTTTTTCAGTTGTATGGATTTATGAGAGACATTTCTCTTCCCTCATGTGTCCACCTAGTGGGAGTTTTTGCATGAACAGAACACAAGATACATAAAGTTCTCCAGCCAGAACTGCACAGAGAGTTTATCTGGGGAGCACATGACTTGAAAATGGACTTTACCCCCTTAAAATATATTAAGAACAGTGAAATGACTGCGTAAGTGATTCCGAAACTGCACGACAAAAACCTCTGTATAATCCTGGAATATCTTTTCTTGATAGTTCTCAGATGATAATTAGGGAGAAAAACAGGCATTCACCAAAGATGTCTGTATTTATTTCAGACTTAATTGTGTTAACCTAGAAACCTAGGAATGGACAATTATCCAGCGGCCACTCTTCAGCTGGTTGTTCAGCCGGCAGCAGATAACCATGCTACAGTGCATTATTTAGGATATAGGGGTTCAGAACAATCAGCTCAGGCTTTCTCTGAAATATACCTTTTCTTCTTCTTTATGAAGAGATTCTACCTCAGTGTTTGGAGCAGGCATGTAATCACTCACTGTGAGACAAGAAATTATTTTATGAGAACAAATGCTAGTTGCCATGGTTTCCAAGAGGAAGAAAAATCCAAGGTCGTTCCCCAGAAACTCTTCTCGTTCAGAGCCAGCAAGGATACTCCCTCACCTCTTCAAGTAACCCTGCCTTGCCTATAAACATGGTCCTCCCATTTACACTGGTATGTGGCTTTGTGCTTAAGCCACAATAACGCTGATAAGAACATTATGTGAAAAACCTGTGCTGTGTCTGAAAACAAACAAAGTCAAGCCTGGATTTATAAGCCTGTGGATTTTTCCTGCTTGGCTGTTTTCCTGCTCCTCTGCGAGTCTGCTGGAAAACCTGTCCTGCCTCCCATGTTTGCTGACCAGGGAGTTGCAGGTACAACTGTGAAACTTTCACCTGCAGAAAAAGCCAGAGTAGCCCTGTATGGAAGGGCTGACAGACAAGCAAATGGAAAAAGCACAGAAGATGAGACAATGCATTTGCAGTTAAGTTATAAGAAAAATGCCCAAAGCTGCCTTTCATGAGTTTCTCCTCTGGGTGTGAAGCACAATAAAAAATACATTTCTTTCAGTGACTTAGGTGCCACTGAAATTGTTACTGCACCTGAATGCCTCAGGACTGACCTATGTGCCAGTGACTGTAAAAAAGGACATCTTCAAACACAAGTGCAAAATCCAGCTTTGTGACTCCAGCATCCCACCAAAATGTCAGCAATCTTTACACTGCTGAGGTACTAACCTGCCAACACAGTAAACAGATGAAGTCTCCCCTTACCCTGGAACTGCCAGGGCAAATTAATCAGGAGATAATAATATTCAGCCATTTGTTTAAAACCATGACTTTTTATTCTGGCATATATAGGGGAAGGTACATAAGCCTTTCGCTCACTTTTGTACAATTGAACAAAACTGTCTGCACATTAATGCCACAACAAACTACAGTTAACTAAACCTGGCTCATGTGAAAAGAAAATGCATCCCTCTAACATGTGTCCAAAGCCTTATTAGTGTAGCAAGCACATTTCTTTATACTAGGGGGTGTGTATATGGGGCCTTGGTCACCAGTGCCATAAAATCAATGATCCATGACTTGCTAATTTCCTTTTCTGTCAATTTAAAACAGAAAAAATATATCAAGGATTAGAAGTGACCCAGGAAACAGCTCCGTTTAAGTTACAAGAAACAGCATTTTGCAGTGGATCACTGATGACACTGTGGGCACAGCTACAAACTCTCAAGCTGCCAAGCCACCATCTCAATGAGTGAGCATCTTGTGCAGAGGGAGAAATCTTTATTATTAGAGCACTGGAGAGTGTATAGGATGCCAATGCAACAAACTCCTTTCTGAGGAGATTCATGTAGCCCATAGACAAGAATTCTGCGAGCGGGACTGAACTTCTGTTGCTAACTTGCTATGCGAATCAGAAGAGATTGATGCACAAATTCATTAAGGAAGAGATGCACAGATGGAGATTGAAGGGCTCAATTTTACAAATGCTTTAAGAACCCAAGCTCTCCCTAAGTCCTGCTTTCAGCATCTAAATTCCCAGCTACCTTCCTAACAGTTCAGTACATCTAGCCACCTCTACTGGAAGCCTGTTATCTCCATGGCAGTGCAATTTTGCATAAATCTGCCTAACTAAATGAACAGAGTTGTGTTTCTACATTTGCGTACTCTTGCATCAATGCAAACAGTTCTTTAGTTCACTAACACTTAATTCTGGTGGGGTATTGAAATGCCTGAGCCTGGCTCCAGGTCTTTTCAGACTTCTGTTGGAAGTGCAAACAGATATTCCACAACTGGTAAATAATTAGAAATGTTGTTCATTTGGTACCAGCAAGGGTGTAACTGTGACCCTGGTCTGGAAATCTGAACACCACCACTCTGTGTTGGTCCACCTCTGACTCATTATCTGTCCTTGGAGGACTCATGTTGACCTCTCTGTGTCCTGATTTTCCCAGCTTTCAAATAACAGTGATACGTTCCCACAGTGAAGCTATGGAGTTGGAAAGTGCCAACAATTATTTCTCTGTGACCCCTTTGTGAAAGCCAGAGGGACCTCTTCTATAGAAGTCCAGACGCTGACCCCTCTTAATTTCCTCACAAAAGCAACTTTTTATCTGTCTTGTCTTCATTTTCTGCTCAGATCAGAATTGTTGAGTATCAGTTATATGGGGTTTCACCTGTCATATGCCCCAGGATCATTTCTGGTGGGAAAATCCACTTTATATAGGTATAGGTACTCTAACTGAATGTATGTATTCATAATATCTGCACAGGATTTCAAACAAAAAATGAAAATAAAAATAAAAATGAAAATAATGAAAAGGGAAAGGGAAAGAAAAAGGAAAAAAGAATGAAATGATGAAGGGAAGGAATGCCATCTAGAGGGACCTCAACACACTTGTGAGGTGGGCTGATGCCAACCTCATGAAGTTTAACCATGACAAGTGCAAGGTCCTACACCTGCGTCAGAGCAATCCCAGGCACAGCTACAGGTTGGGCAAAGAAGAGATTCAGAGCAGCCCTGCAGAGAAGGACTTGGGGGTGTTGGTCCATGTGAAAATGAACATGAGGTGGCTTCAGTGTGTGCTTGCAGCCCAGAAAGCCAACCGTATCCTGGGCTGCATCAAAAGGAGCGTGACCAGCAGGCCGAAGGAGGTGATCCTGCCCCTCTGCTCTGCTCTCGTGAGACCTCACCTGGAGTATTGTGTGCAGTTCTGGTGTCCTCAACATAAAAAGGACACGGAACTGTTGGAACAAGTCCAGAGAAGGGCCACGAGGATGATCAGGGGACTGGAGCACCTCCTGTATGAAGACAGGCTGAGAAAGTTGGGGGTGTTCAGCCTGGAGAAGAGAAGGCTGCGTGGAGACCCCATAGCAGCCTTCCAGCATCTGAAGGGGGCCTACAGGGATGCTGGAGAGGGACTCTTCATTAGGGACTGTAGTGACAGGACAAGGGGTAACGGGTTAAAACTTAAACAGAGGAAGTTTAGATTGGATGTAAGGAAGAAATCCTTTCCTGTAAGGGTGGTGAGGCACTGGAACGGGTTGCCCAAGGAAGCTGTGAAAGCTCCATTCCTGGTGATATTCAAGGCCGGGTTGGACAGAGCCTTGGGTGACATGGTTTAGTGTGAGGTGTCCCTGCCCATGGCAGGGGGGTTGTAACTAGATGATCTTAAGGTCCTTTCCAACCCTAACTATTCTATGATTCTATGATAAACATATCCAAAAGAAGCTGCTGAGATTTTTTTTTTTTTTCATTATATTATCTCTGCTATGGATGTGAAATAATTAAAAATCTGCCCCCGTCTAAAACCAAACAAATCAGTATTGAAGAATAGATTATATTGCTCAGCAGTGCCCTAAACATTCACATAATTTAGAAATCCTAAGAAATAAAAAAGAGCACAGTCTCAGCCTGTTAATGTAGTAAACCAACAAGTTATTGTGACCTAAGTATACAGAAATTACTATTGCAGCATAACTTTCCTTTTCAAACTTTAAAACAAACAAGCTTGATTTCCTTAAGAAGTCTGCAGGGAGTCTCTGTTAGCTATTGCAATAGGAGCTGCTATGCCAGCAGAGTGATTTTTCTCCATTTCTTAGTCCATCAAAGATGAAATGTCTGCAGTTTTCGTTTTCTACATTTAAGATTTGTACCAGTTTTCTGCTCACTAAATCATAATTTTTCCTAGGTGAAGCTGTCCCACAGCCTGACACAAGCTGAATGGAGAGAGCACATGCAAACACCTTCATCACAATGTAATGTTGCCACGTAATGTTTAAAATACCATTCACACTGTCGCTGTCTTTCCCTCCCACTTTGTTCCTATAGAAGTTCCCATTTAGAATTCTTTATTTTCCTTTTTTTCTACCACGTTTGTCCTCTTTTCCTTTTCTATTCTTTTAAAAAGTTCTCTCAATTTCACAACTTGATCTTTCCCGTTGTTTCAGTCTCTCTGGTGGCACCTTCTCATTACCATAGTCCCCCTTTTCCAGTATGTGCCTGTGCACAACCGATGGCACTTCTCATGCCTTTCTCTGCTTATTTTCTCACTGTATCTCCAGCTTTTTCCTCTCTTTGTCCTTGAGGCTGCTCCACTCTCCCGTCTACCTAGCAGCACCTCTCCTCTCACTTCCAAGCCCCCAGTCCTCTCTGCTGACTTTCACCTGCTCATGGGAAGATGTTGAAGAAAAAAGATGTGCCCACAAGGCTCTCTTGTCTTCTCTGACTCCTGTATAACCCAGCCAGCTTTCTTTCACATCTCACCTGAGCTGAGTACTACAAACTGTTAGACCAATCTGTTAAATCAACTACTTTTGGTGTAGTCTGAACTGGTAAAAAGATGATTTCATTTCATTTAAAAATTAAGCATGTAAGTAATTTACTTTATCTATCTTACCTAACTGATGACACTGCAAGCTCAATATTCATCTGATACCGTGTTTGTGTACATAACTGACTTTTCTCTGGGGAGGACAGGAAGAGAGCAGTGATACAAATAAGCAAAACAACTCCCAGTCAAAACCAACCAACAACCTTTCCAAAGCAAAAAATTAAACCCAGTCCAGGTAAAGGTTTATGTATGTATATAATACCAAAAGTATATACATGTATTCATACAAATTAGTAAATTTTGCAGAGAGACATGTGTCTATACATACTTCTAATATTTTCCATCTTACTTCTGCCCAATCATCGTTTGCTCTCCACACTAATTTTCTTGCAGAGATTACAGCTGTTTACTCAAATTACTGTACTACCCAGTAAACAACCATCAGTATGGCAGTTAAGTGATTAGAAAGAAAATGTCTCCCACAGTTTCACAATAAAAACAACAGACTACATCTCCCAGCTCAGGCTACAGTAGGAAACAAGATTCTCTCTCTCCAGTTCACTCTCTCAGTGTGTACTACAGAAACAAATGTGGTTTTCTCCCTTTACTAATTTACTCATATTATCTGTGATGGAATAGAATTCTCCAGATGCAAATATCTTGAGCTTAACTTCAGGAGGGTTTTATGACACTGTCATTTGCACCCTTTAGGCTACAAGATTTTAGTAATTTAGATGCTACTGTAATTCATGCCTTCTTTGAATCTACTTCCCTCCCTTGGTTGTGGCTTTGCAGAGATCCTGGCACATGCATGTACACAATGTGCATGCGGGCAAGATGGTTTTGTGAATTTATCTGTGTTGCATCAGAAAGCCAATTCTAATGACATGAGAGGCCAGCTGGGTTTGCCAATATTATTGTACCAATCCTTCACCTATTGTTGTAGGGGAAGGCTGGATAAATGCTATGAAACAACTTATACAAATAAGTATCTTCTGATGTAATAAATAGGGAAATGTGTTTTCAGTTCCTGCTTCCTACATCAGAAAGACATATCAGGTGGACCAAATCAAATTATATATACGAAAACAAGGAAGGAGGAAAGAGCCAAGTCTATCTGCTTTATGTCATCTCATAACAAAGGAGAAAATTTCCCATTTCTGATAAATAAAAGTTAATTCAGGTAAGTATAGCATACTAATAAAATCATAACCCCTCATAGTTTAGTTTAATCTTTTCGTCTTTGTTTTCCACCTACATTTTTTTTCAACCAAACTTCAGCTGATTTTAAAGTCAAAAGACATCTTCTGCTTCACAGAAATATTTTGGGAGTATCAATAAGGAAGTGGTGAAGTTACCTGGATGTAAAACAAGATTAAGAGGGAACCCATCTGTAGCCGTCTCCTGTCACATCTCAGGTGAAGGTTAGCTTGGTAAAGAAGGGCTGCTCTGTGATCCAGACCCTACGATCCATGCCCTGAGCACTGCTGTAGAGGTATGGAAATGTATTCTCTTGGTTTGACTTGATGACCTGATGTCAGACCTCGAAGTCTTATCCTATCTTTTTATCCCAGATGGTAAATTTCTGAGATGTTGTCAAGATTCACTCTTTCGCTGGTGTTTGAGCCAGGCTTTGTTGCTTTCTGTTCCTGTAGCAGCTGGGCTTTTAAAAATTATCCTTCCTTCCCCATTTGCCATGAATACAAGTGATTCTGGGGCCAGGATCCAGGAAGACAGTGGTTTCAGGGGAATAAGCAAATCTAATTCTCTGCTGTATGATTCCAGCTGCCTGGTCAGGTCCAAGAGGATGTGAACCTCGGAAGGAGAACTTGGTCCTGCCCACCAGTGTCAAATTAATTATGGCCTGTGAGGCGTAAAAAGCAGCTGCAAAAGGCTGGAGGGCCCAGGTGCTGTTGGAGAGTGCTGGCAGCAGCAACAGGCAGAAGCTGTGAAGTGACTAGAAGCCATTGGAAGATGAACAAGGAAAAGACAGTGTTTAAAACCTATAGGCCTAGACGTACATAAGGCCTTCTGCTGGTTATGCAGGTCTGCAGACACCAGGGAGTCGCCAGGTTTTCCCAAGCAGGAGAGGGGGGACCCCATTGTGGATGGTGGATGCCCTGCCATCAGCAGCAAGAGAAAGGAAGGGGCAGAAGGCTGCATAGGAGTTGTCTGGGAGAGGCTTGGGGGATGCTGGGGTTTGGTCCACAGGCTAATCAGGGCTTTAATGGTTTACAGCTAGAAGAAGTGAAGGTAGTAACAAGCACTAGTCTTTTGTCCAGCATGGGCATCGTGAGCAGCAGTGAGGTCCCCAGGGGTGCCTGGGCTGCCGCTGCTTCTCTGAACCAAGCAGCTGTGGGTAGCTGGGTCTGTGGAGAAGACAGGTGAAGAGGTCTTCAGTCTGGTTCGCTTCTTTCCAGACATGTCCTTTATGCTGAACATGCAAAGAAAGGCTGCTAAGAGCAGCGCTGCCCTCTGAGTGCCTCCTGGGAATCCCATCCCACTGTCATATTTCACTGCCCTGTGCCCTGTTGCCTTGGAGTATAAAGCAGAGCTCATGGCCCAGACAATCTCCTCTTGTCTTGCCCTCTACAGGCAGCTGTTCTCATCTTGGCTTGCAGAGCATTTAAACTGGCATAGATCCTCCATAACAAGACAAGAAATGCGTCCATCTTGGCCTCTGTCCAGCATTTTGTCCAGCAGCAGTGAAGGGATCTGTGGTGAGTACAGCTGGAGGTCAGGCAGTGATGGTGGGCAAAAAGGCCATTTTCAAAACACAAACTATATTCTATGCAGCTCCTTCAGTGCTTCTGTCTTTCATGCCTGTATTTCTGAAAGGCCATAACCATCTTACTGTTTCCATCTCTACAGCAATTCCATTCTTTCTCTTGCTCTTTCTTTAGCACTAACTGATCCACAAGCTAGAAGCTATTTGGCCTTTAGTGCTCCCTTGGAAGCGTTACTTGGGTAATGTTTCATCAGAATTAGACACACTGTACTTGATTTTATATGGGTTTGCTTTTTTTTTCATCTGACCTGCTTTCTTCCAGAACAAAGCCTCAGCTGGAGCTGGAAGGACACAAAGACTTGATACAAATGGAGATAATATGAGGCTGAAGCTCAAACAAAACCGAACAGTGATCACAGTTGTCCTGGTGGTTACCCCTTCTTGCAAATAAGAAGTTTGCCTCCTTTAACTTTTCTACTTTTCTGCTGCCTTTACTCTTGCCAGTTCAAAAGACAGTTGCCTGTCACTGGGGGAAAAATTCTCTTAAATAAATACTGGATATACACCCCTTGCTTCCACTGTATCAAACTTCTTGTCTCACAAAGGAATCAGAGACTAGGTTTGTGTCACATCTACCTCACATCTACCTTTTTGCTATGTGCACCTTGTTTATTTTCTGCCTGCAGCCTGCAGTGGCTATGCAGGCTCCTTTACCACAGAAAAATGCTTCAAAATATTAACATGGCTGTAAATAATTCTTTAGTAGACTGGTTTATGCTGAGGTGACAAAATAAGGGTTCATCATCTATCTCCTCTCAGACCACTAAGCTTTGAAATGACTAGAGGTTTTGTTAAGAAGATGTAGGATTCTTCAAGGCACTCCATTCTGGCTTGAAACCAAAAGGTGTGTAGATCCATGTGAGGCTAGAGAGACAGGGCTGGGTATGGAAAATCGCGTCACTCTGTATAAATATTAACAGCTCTGTCATATCTGTTGGAACAGCTCACTGAAGTACACTAAGGTCACAGATTAACTCACAAGGTTTTCCTATTCCACAATGAATT